CAAGCATGTGCCCTTGACCAGGCTGAACCTGGGACCCTTCAGTCTGCAGGCCGATGCTTTATCCACTGAGCCTGGCCTGCACCCTCTCGCAGTCTGGGACCGCTTGGGGGATGTCTGCGTGCCAGCAGTCAGACATCCCTTTTGCAGTCCAGGACCACTTGCTCCTTACCGCCTACCTGCTCACTGCTCCTTACCATCAGCTCACTGCTCCTTAGAGCTGCTGTGGATGTGGGAGAGGCTTCTGCCACCACTGCTGCACTCCCCAGCCTTGAGCCCAGCTCAGAGCTTCTGGCTGAGTGGTACTCCCCTGTGGAAGTGTACTGACGGGCGGGGGGAGCTCCTGCATTGAGCGTCTGCCCTCTGGTGGCAGTGCATGTCATAGCAACTGGTCATTCCACTGTTTGGTCAGTTTGCATACTAGCCTTTTATTATATAGGATTATGAGGTAGGTACTATTATTATCCCCTCTTATCAGGAGGTAGAGAGACCCTGTAGTGCAAAAGGTAGAAGTTAAATCTAGGTAGTCAAGCTCGTGAGTCTGCATATTTCACCTAAACCCTATTGCTCAAAGAAATGCACAAGCCAGACAACTAATGTAAAATGATGAAGTGATAGAAAAAGTCATTAAATAAGCCTGTGGTTGTGCCCCTAGCATTCTGGTTTGTCCACTGGGCATATCGGAGATAAAACGGAGGTTCTGAACACTGACCAACCCAATCCAGGTTGGATTGTGTAGAGACAAAGTCAGTATGTCTTTAAGAAACAGTTCAAAACTATGCATATAATGACTGTCCTGTACTTTAGCTTCTTAGGGCTGCTGGAACCAGGGGTGATGTACATCTTGCCCGAGGGCCTTCTACAACCTGCCAAATCACTTGGTCTGGCCCTGCCAAGGCATTAATGGAGAGTTAATTAAATGTTTGAACAAATATAGCAGGCCGATTTTTAAGTTGATAATTTTGTATGGCCCATGAATGATGTTATAAATATCCAAATGGCCCTTGGCAGAATAAAGTTCCCCACCCCTGCTAAGCAAAGGAGATGAGGTTGTTGGGAGGTAAGCACTAAACAATGTGATGCTATTAGTGGGGAGAAGGTGAAGGCAGGGACCAAAACCAGTGCCCGTCACAGAACGGTCTATGGTTTCCTGGGGAAGTACAAGCCCCTATCCCAAGGGCAGCAGAAGCCGGTGAAGAATGACCTTGATGGCCAGAGAGACAGGATGCCTCCAGGGCAGGTGTATAATTAGGCATTCCTTCAAACTGATATTCTTTAAATATTTCTGCAATATTCATTTAGTGAGGATAGGAAGAAAATTAATTTTCTCTGAATAAAGAAGGGGTAGCTTTCTTTATGTTAAAAAATAGAGGAGTTATTACAATTTTTCAAACCATGTAACTTCCAAGGGGACATATTAATCCACATAAAACTGCGATAATAAAGTCAAAGCACTGAACCACCAGAATTGAATAACATTATTTAATTTCAGGATTTCGGCTGCTTGTGGCTGCTGATTTCAAGTGACTGCCCTATAGTTGCAACAAATATATTGTGAGTCTCAAAATCACTCAAAAGAGAGGTTGGTGCTAGTGAGATATGAGTTTTTTTTAAAACAGTTTTAAAAATATATATTTTATTGATTTTTTACAGAGAGAAAGGGGATATGCCGGTAACCAAGGTACATGCCCTTGACCAGAATCAAACCTGGGACCCCTCAGTCCCCAGGCCGACACTCTATCCACTGAGCCAAACCGGTCAGGGCAAGATATGACTTTTATTTTCCCATTTAAGTGATTTTTCTACTTCCATAGGATGAAAATTCTTTAACATTTGTTGGTTATATAAAGAGTCCCATGTGGAATCAAGTGTACTGGTGCCATTTTGTGATATGTCTACATGCTGAGGATGCATCACTTGTGGGGGCCTGGCTGACCTGCCACATGGACTGGGGGTTCCTGTCCACCACCTTCTAAAACTGAAAACATGTCTGATATTGGCAGCCTTTGCTTCTTTAACTTAAAAAACCCTGGGCAGAAGCTGACCTTGTACCTTGAAACATTTGTCTAG